CTCTTGGTCCAAAAGTGGGTCTTGGTCCAAAAGTGGGTCTTGGTCCAAAAGTGGGTCTTGGTCCAAAAGTGGTTCTTGGTCCAAAAGTGGCTCTTGTTCCAAAAGTGGCTCTTGTTCCAAAAGTGGCTCTTGGTCCAAAAGTGGGTCTTGGTCCAAAAGTGGGTCTTGGTCCAAAAGTGGGTCTTGGTCCAAAAGTGGGTCTTGTTCCAAAAGTGGCTCTTGGTCCAAAAGTGGGTCTTGGTCCAAAAGTGGCTCTTGGTCCAAAAGTGGGTCTTGGTCCAAAAGTGGGTCTTGGTCCAAAAGTGGGTCTTGGTCCAAAAGTGGGTCTTGTTCCAAAAGTGGCTCTTGGTCCAAAAGTGGGTCTTGGTCCAAAAGTGGGTCTTGGTCCAAAAGTGGCTCTTGTTCCAAAAGTGGCTCTTGGTCCAAAAGTGGCTCTTGGTCCAAAAGTGGGTCTTGGTCCAAAAGTGGCTCTTGTTCCAAAAGTGGCTCTTGGTCCAAAAGTGGCTCTTGGTCCGAAAGTGGCTCTTGGTCCAAAGCTACGTTCCAGATGCTGTAGATCTCGAGGGGAGTTTTTTTGCGTGTGACCAGTCTAGTTTAGCCGCTGTGGACTTTTGAATGCACTCGTTAAATGAATGGGGCTAGTGCAGCTAACACATGCGCACATTTTTTCAGATTGTCCTGCCCCGCGGCCATTTTGAAACACCCCAGAGAAGGCAACAGTGTTTCAAGGACTGAAATAGGTGTATTTTGATATTTACAGTCTATGATCTGGACCAGGTTTAGGATTGATTTGGGAATTACAATTTGGCGACACATTGACAATAACAACGGCCAATAGTGGTTGTCGTCTATTCCCTGGACTAATGGCTGCAGCCCGACGTCTCGTGTTCTCAGTCTGACCCTTTGCTCATCTGTTTCCTGGAGTCATGTACCTGGACTGAATGTCAACGTGACCAGTTGCTGCTCTGCTCAGTCTGACCTCCTCCACCAATGTTTGTTTTCTGACCATTCTGCACAAAGCCACAAACAGATGACGAACGACCTCAAACCAAAACAAAGCCAGTCTCTATATCACTGATTTGATTCTTCTGTGAGTCGTCTCAGGAAGATCCCTCTGCATTCTGAAGCTTGTTAAAGGGAGAATATTATCGATACTTTCTTACTTGTTATTATGAAACATGATTTATATGACGACATGTGAAGAAAAACTGGATTTTTACTCAAGATATTCCAGTGAAGATGCACATTTTTGAGCATTTGTGATAGAGAAAATATATGAAATAGATAGAAGCCATTACATAATTGATGAAGCAAATGGGCATCAGGATAGGGAGGCTCGAAAAACAAATTCCAGCAATAAGCTTCAAGGCACAGGCAGAAATAATGATACGGCGTGATGAAACGCGCAACCATAATTTGTAAACTATTTACTGAATAATCTAGTCATTTGTGCTGATACATATTAATCAAATCTGGGGTTTTATGACACAAGTGGAGACATAAACATTTTAGAGGAGAAAAACTGAAACTAAACTGTCTTCAGACATTGAGCATTTTTTAGTTAACAAAGAAAATAACTGGTTTTCATTGTGTTTGTGGCCATTAAAGAGTTAAAGCCATGTTTTATTCAGTTTAATATACAGTTAGAAAAGATGGCTGCACCAGATTTAGAGGAGTCCTAAAATTCTCAGATTGCTTCCACTTTGGGAGGGTGATATTTTATTTTTTAGGTGGATTTATTGTCCCATTTCAAAGAGTCAAAAATGTGGAAACAGTTCAAAATATATAAATATGCAGTGAATGAAAAGGAGACTTGAAGTTCAACAATAACTCTTGGTAATATATTTTAGCAGTTTGTCAATCCCAGTTACTTTATCTATAACCAGCAGCGCGCGGACTGCCAGAAACTAATTACACAAAGGGAAGGGATACAGTGCAGAATGTTTTCAACCCCATTGGATTTTGTCTAGATTTTGTCCTGTTAAAGCCTGTGTAATTAATTCAGTTCCCCAAAAGTGAAATCAGCCTTTTTTTAATACTTTTGTTTAGGGATGCACTGATATTAGCCTGGCCTTATCCATCCGTACACTTCGCTCAATCATCATTTCACTGCATGTAACGTCTGGGTCTAGTCCCTGTGTTAGCGAATACAATCGGTTGAATTTCATCCGACCAATCAGCGAGCGTGGGTGTTGTAGTTAGTTGTGGGTGACGTCAAGAGTTTGCGTCGTACGGGCAGGTTGTAGTTTGGCGAAGAATGCGATAGTAAAGTATTCTGGTCTGGTTCTATCAAGAAATTGAAGCCGGAGCAAGAGGAACGTTTAGCAAATGTAATCGCTGAAAAGATTGTGGCGCTACTCCCCAAGGGCTCCGTTAGCAGCAAAGGAGATGGCTAAAGCTAGGCTAAATGCTAAATGCTAACGACTCACTCGGGCTCATTACAAACATCACAGTAAACTCAGATCCAATCGTTTCAATCTGCAAAAGGAGTTAACCCCTCCCACCTGTTAACGCAGTCAATGGAGCAAATCCAAACCGAAATGCACCAAAATGACCAAAATAAATTAAAAACCAAATATCAAATTACACTACATGTATTCTTGCGTCTGTCCCGGCTCCACTTCTTTGCATTACTGGTTCCAAGTTCTTTCTTTCCAACAGCATCAGGCAGGAGTCAAGGTGAACCATCCCCAGCTTTATAAAGACTAATGTGGGCCATTAGTTTGTCTAACTGTTTCCACTTCTCAGCACAGTCCGCCTCCGATGTTCTTTATTGTGGGAAACTACATGTTCTATTATCAGTTTGGCAGGTTAGAGCAGTGTTCCCCAACCTTTTTGAGCCGTGGCACACCTTCGTCATTACAAAATATATCATGGCAAAACCACCAGCTGAAACTGACTCAACATGGGGGCGACAGTATGTCAGTTGGTAGAGCATTGGCTTTGGAGCCTGAAGGTCAACACTTAACCTCTGGGAACACCAGCCACAGTGGGGCGTCTGTGGCTGTAAAGTGCCAAACTGCTGTTGTGTCCTTGGGCAAGACACTTCACCCCCATTGCCTAGAATGAGTCTGGTGTGTGTGTGAATGGTTGGTGGTGGTGGGAGGGGCTGATGGCACATTCTGGTTGCCTGGCTTCTGTCAGTGTGCCCCAGGGCAGCTGTGGCTACAGTCGTAGTTTATCACCACCGTGTTTGGAGTGAAAGAATAACGACATGTGCAGCGTCGTTGAGTGTCCAAAAAGCGATATATAAAACCGACACATTATTATTAGTATTGTTAACATTGAAACTCCAAATCCTTCATTAACGAATCAAAGTCGTTCTAATCAATGTGTGTTATGTAGAAAATAAAACACATTGAGTCTCTCTAATCATCTCGCAGTATTTTATTTTCACATGATTTTGACCAAGCAGGTGATATTAGATCATTTCCAAGGCACACTAATCAACATCTCAAGGCACACCAACATGCCACGGCCCACTGGTTGAAAAACACTGGGTCAGTAGAGCTTGATTAATTTTCTCCCATCTTTCTGGATCAGAGTTGCACCAACAAACACAGACCGGGCTTGCATGTTCTTTTGGCATGCAGCGAACACTGTTGTGAGTCAGCAGTGTAGCGACATGCTAAGTACTGGACTAAAATGAGCTCAGGGTCCGTAGCTCAGTGATAAACGTCGCCCTTGGTCAGGCCCAGGACTCGCTTCACTGCGGATGAAAAGGCATTTGTCATGTCCGCGGCTCAGGGAATGGTTACTTATCAAAAAGGCCGTTGCACCTGAAAGAAGGAGGGATCCAGGAACTTTTATTACAGCTGCCGAACAAAAGGACTCCAAAGCTGTCAGCCCAACTTTTCTCTTTGGGTTTTTAAGTGTTTTCCACTCCAGGTGTCCAGGTGTGTTTTAATAACGTCAAAAAAAAAAATGTTTTTGCACAGATTTCAGGTTTGGCATCCCAGTCCAAAATGTTACTGAGACCCATGGCTTCTTATTTTACTGTGTTGCTATGGTGATTACACTGAAAAAAGAAAATATTGGTTAGATTTACTTTCTAAAAATATCAAACATCTTTAATTGCTTGAATGCTGTTTGTGTGTTATCATTTTAGTAATTTTAACATACGTCATAATCGTTATTGAGAAAAAAAGGCTGAGAAGTGAGTTATCAAGCTTGCTTTAAGACTTCTTTTCTTCTTGTTTAGATATAATAAGTATGTTTCGTTTGAAGAAATAAGTAAATCATACTTGAAATGTATGTTTTTAACAAGTCATTTGGGGCTTGTATTATTTTCTTATTTTCAGAAATCTTCAAGTCATATTTTCATCTTCTATGGGCAGATCAGTTTGATTATTTTAAGCAGTATTTTACTAATTTTTATATAATTTTTTAGGGGATTTTTCCAGTGAGATGCTTCCTATTTTGTGTTAATGGGAAAAATCACAAAAGCTCTTTCATTCACATTCTGCCTCGGTAGATCAGCTAAACCGTGTTTACGTGGGACTGTACCTTACACTGTTGTTTCCATAGAGACACGTGAACGTTTTTATGTTTTTCACTGAAGGTTCACGGATCATGATCATGCCTCATATTAGTGTTTTATCTCTGACACGTTAAGTCCTGTCATATCACTCATTACACATATAACTTGTGTAATTCATTTGGCATTGGGCCGCAGCCAGACTATTTTATTTAACAAACGCAGGAGGAAGCAGACGAGCAGAGCACATGACTTGCATTAGTGCATTTGCATCAATCACAAACGTTATCTGTCTCTGAGGGCAATTTAAAATGAGCAGCAGTAGCTTTAAAAGTACAGCAGCATGCTGTATCCAAAACGCATTAAACAGTCAAAACAAACGGTAAAAATAAGAAAAATAAAAAGTCTGGGGCCTGGGTGGCTTCCTAATCTGGGTCCATGGGGTCTAGGAGCTGGAGTCTGGGTCCAGGAGCTGGAGTCTGGGTCCTTGGGGTCTGGGAGCTGGAGTCTGGGTCCATGGGGTCTAGGAGCTGGAGTCTGGGTCCATGGGGTCTGAGAGCTGGAGTCTGGGTCCATGGGGTCTGAGAGCTGGAGTCTGGGTCCATGGGATCAGGGAGCTGGAGTCTGGGTCCATGGGGTCTGAGAGCTGGAGTCTGGGTCCATGGGGTCTGAGAGCTGGAGTCTGGGTCCATGGGGTCTGAGAGCTGGAGTCTGGGTCCATTGGATCAGGGAGCTGGAGTCTGGGTCCATGGGGTCTGAGAGCTGGAGTCTGGGTCCATGGGGTCTGGGAGCTGGAGTCTGGGTCCATGGGGTCTGGGAGCTGGAGTCTGGGTCCATGGGGTCTGAGAGCTGGAGTCTGGGTCCATGGGGTCTGAGAGCTGGATTCTGGGTCCATGGGGTCTGGGAGCTGGAGTCTGGGTCCATGGGGTCTGAGAGCTGGAGTCTGGGTCCATGGGGTCTGGGAGCTGGAGTCTGGGTCCATGGGGTCTGAGTGCTGGAGTCTGGGTCCATGGGGTCTAGGAGCTGGAGTCTCAAATGTTGGGTGCATAACATGAGGCTAATCCGGTTTGATCTGTCAGGCTTTTCTACAGGTCTGTCTAAGAAGAGACGGGGAGATCAAAAGACCAAAAACCTACAGTATTTTAGTAGAAAACCATTGGATTGGCAGAAAAAACTAAACACTGTCTTCTTCTGGCAGCAACAAACATTTGGTGTTTTATTAAAAGAGCAGTATGTTAAAATGTGGCCAAAAGTGGTACTGCAGCCTCTCCCACTCTGCCTGACTCGGGTTGCCAGATATGCAGACGAATCCAGCTGGGACCATAACATCTGACAAATCTATAACCAGCACTTTTTTTCACTAAGGCACTGAAATTTGAGAATCTTAACGAGCCTCCTGTGGACTCACCACCTGCAGAGGGTCAGTGAGGGGCTGGTGCTATGAGACTTGGGTGGCATCTCTGACTGCCACCCCCCTGACCCAGAAATGGATTAAAGGGTAGAAAATGGATGGATGGATGGACGAGACCTTTTTTAGTTCTGCGTCCACATGGTACATTAGCTCCACGCGGGGAGTTCTGTTTTACTAGTTTTAAGATAATTCATGATCTCAGAGAAAAAGAAGTCTGAGCCGTGAGTTTTTGAGCTTGTTTTAAGCATTTTTTCTTATTTCCAGACAGCTTTTTTGTTTAGGTAAAATAAGTTTGTAATCAGGTTTAAGAAATAAGTAAATAATACTTGAGTTGATTCTAGTTTAAAATAATTATTTTTGCATTCTCGCATTTCGAGTCCTCTTCCTTCCCACCACGTGACACGTACAGTGTGTGGTGCGCAGCCAAACGGCAAAATCACGCAAACTACACACATCACACACGAACCGATTCCCCCCCGAGCATTCCCAGAATTCAGACGGAAATCTCACAAAATGTCTGGAGATCAAGCGTGACTTCAGAGTAAACAATCATGGCGGACGAAGAGGATGCAGTGCCGATAGTTTGCAATTTGTTTTTAACAGAGAAAAAGTGTTCCTCCATCTCCGACGTCCACCGGACTTTCTGGCAGTGCTGACTGTGATGATTTTTTTCCGGTGTTTCCTCGCCGCCTCGTCTTCTGATTGGCTACACTCCGCAGTCCACTGGCAGCGTGCTCGTCTGTCCCCGACACCACACACCAAGAGAAATCGGGCCAAAACAATGTTGGATATACACAAAGTCCTTCTGGGCAACGCAGTCTTAACACACCACACATGGAAAATCCATCTGATTTTTTTAAACAAAAATTGTAGCGTTCCTAAGATTTTTATTAGCGGTAAATCGGGTCTTAAATCGGCCTAGTTATCAGCCGTACGGGCCGATATATTTTGTCTCATCTACTGCACTTTGTGACATCTGAGGTTGTGTTTTCTTTGTATTGTTTTTCATAAAAAATGTGGAAAAAAAGGTATATGCAAATATGTTCCATTTTGATTTTTGAGCAAGTAAATGTATATTTGTGTTTGCCTATCAATAAATATATAAAACAGAAATCGGCCTAGTTATCCTTCTGTGTAAACCAGGCTGAAGATCAGAAAAACCGTTCAACCTTAAAACCTTTACTACCCACCTCCAGTTTCACATTTGTCATCATTTGCAGTCTCCGTGAGCCAGTGTAGCCTGATGGTGACGATGGCAGGTGTGTCGGGGGGGGGGGACTTGTTCTCTGATTTACGAGCATTGCCACGTGCTGTGAAAAGTGGGGCTCCGAGGGACGATCAGGCCTTTGTAAGAACACATCTGTCCGCACTCCATCACCTCCACCGCTCCCGCCGCAGCCCTTTGTTTCTGTGGCCGCTCACCTGTGTGCGGGATAACAAATATGGACACAAGCTGGTTATTTAGCTCCAGGCCCAGTGCATTGTGGGGGGTGAAAACCACGAGTGAATGTTGGGGATAAAGTGATCACTCAGAAAGTAATTACACTGGTTCACGGTTTAAGTCTGTCCAAGTGTTTTACCACAATATGTCATTTTAAGGCATGCACTAGGAGAAAAAACCCTGCGCTGCGACTATCACTTTTTATTGACTGACTTTATTTTGTGCCTTTAACTCATTGACTGCCATTGACGAATTTGTCTGCGACCCTAATCGACTGGGGATTACAGGACAGTAAAAATAGATTAAAACAAACTTATTTTTGCTGATCCAAGTAGACAATCCAGTGTTTCAGAATCTGGTTTGACATTTCACATAGTCTTAGGAAATCATTTTCTGTGGGTCTTGAGAATCAGTGAAATCATCAAAAAACGGCATGTTGCACACTTCTGCTTTTTTACACAATCTGAGTGATTCTGTCTGTGCCAAAGCGACGTGTACATTTCTCCAGTGTGAGATCAATAAAGTCTATCTTAAATCATCTTGTCTTATCAGCGCAGACCCATTCATGTTGGGGACATTTGATCCTTGGATTCTAGTCTAAGATAAAGAAGGAAATAAGCCTCAGATTGTACACATCAAACAGTCTATTTCTTAAGATAATAATAATAATAATGCATTGGTTTTAAACAGCGCTTTTTTGGACACTCAAAGACGCTTCACATGTCATTATTCTTACTCTCCAAACACGGTGGCGATAAACTACTACTGTAGCCACAGCTGCCCTGGGGCACACTGACAGAAGCGAGGCAACCAGTCTGTGCCATCGGCGGAACAAAACAAGAAATAAACACAAGGCCTAAAATAATAAATAATCACAGTACATTAAAAAGCAAGATGCAAATATAAATGTTGTACAGATGAACAGAACTGTTTTAAACTGGAATTGCTGTCCGAGAAGAAGCCTGTCTCACATTTTCAGGAAGATTGTTTCAGACTTGTTTCCTGACTCTGGGACCAGCAGGAGGCTAGTCCCTGTGCTCCTCAGAGTCCCAGCAGGAGGCTAGTCCCTGTGCTCCTCAGAGTCCCAGCAGGAGGCCAGTCCCTGTGCTCCTCAGAGTCCCAGCAGGAGGCCAGTCCCTGTGCTCCTCAGAGTCCCAGCAGGAGGCCAGTCCCTGTGGTCTTCAGAGTCCCAGCAGGAGGCCAGTCCCTGTGCTCCTCAGAGTCCAAGCAGGAGGCCAGTCCCTGTGGTCTTCAGAGTCCCAGCAGGAGGCCAGTCCCTGTGCTCCTCAGAGTCCCAGCAGGAGGCCAGTCCCTGTGCTCCTCAGAGTCCCAGCATGAGGCCAATCCCTGTGCTCCTCAGAGTCCCAGCAGGAGGCCAGTCCCTGTGCTCCTCAGAGTCCCAGCAGGAGGCCAGTCCCTGTGCTCCTCAGAGTCCCAGCAGGAGGCTAGTCCCTGTGCTCCTCAGAGTCCCAGCCAGGAGGCCAGTCCCTGTGGTCTTCAGAGTCCCAGCAGGAGGCCAGTCCCTGTGCTCCTCAGAGTCCCAGCAGGAGGCCAGTCCCTGTGGTCTTCAGAGTCCCAGCAGGAGGCCAGTCCCTGTGCTCCTCAGAGTCCCAGCAGGAGGCCAGTCCCTGTGCTCCTCAGAGTCCCAGCAGGAGGCCAGTCCCTGTGGTCTTCAGAGTCCCAGCAGGAGGCCAGTCCCTGTGCTCCTCAGAGTCCCAGCAGGAGGCCAGTCCCTGTGCTCCTCAGAGTCCCAGCATGAGGCCAATCCCTGTGCTCCTCAGAGTCCCAGCAGGAGGCCAGTCCCTGTGCTCCTCAGAGTCCCAGCAGGAGGCCAGTCCCTGTGCTCCTCAGAGTCCCAGCAGGAGGCTAGTCCCTGTGCTCCTCAGAGTCCCAGCAGGAGGCCAGTCCCTGTGCTCCTCAGAGTCCCAGCAGGAGGCCAGTCCCTGTGCTCCTCAGAGTCCCAGCAGGAGGCTAGTCCCTGTGCTCCTCAGAGTCCCAGCAGGAGGCCAGTCCCTGTGGTCTTCAGAGTTGGTTCATGTCACGTGTGATTACTCGCACAGCGTTCTGCATCGTTGGTCTGATGGAAACAGGGCTGAAGAACGACTGATTCTCGAAATGTTTTTAAGTCTTGTCTCAAACCTCTTTCTCTGGCAAGAATGAGTGTGCAAAACAGTGGCTGAGTGGTTAGCCCTCTCGTTTCTCAGCAAGAAGGGGTTCGAATCCTGGTCAGAACAGGGCCTTTCTGAGTGGAGTTTGCATGTCCTCCCAGTGTCTAAGTAGGTTTCCTCTGGGTGCTCCAGTTTCCCCTACCACTACAAACATGCACAATAGCTATGAATGTAACGAGTGAGTGCTTGGAGGGTGTTTGGTCGGAGGCTTTGATGGACCAGTGTGTTCGGCGTCTCGTTTTAATATCTGAACAATAAACAATATTTGAACTCTGGACATTTGTAAAGTGCTTTGGGGGACCTTGGTCTGTAAAAATGCGCTTCATAAATAAAATACTTACTTACTTAATAATCCAGAATGTATGTATTTAATTTGGACATAACAGTAACACTGTTGAACCAGAGGCATCACTCGTCCACTGGGGCTTTACATTACAGAAGGTACACATACATTTCAAGTACTATTTAGCCACTGTTTGAGCTCTCTGCTGACGATGGCCGGGTGAGTCTGTAGTTTCAGCCCAGTGGGAGAAAGTTCCACAGTTTAACCCCAAAGGAGAAACTGGATCGTCCAAAATACATGTATGTGAGCTTTGGGAGCACAAGAATGAGTGGATCTTAGCTTTTGTTCCTCATTTGCTATTTATTTTGTATTGTCTAGAGTAAATATTTAGCACTTTAGACCAGCATGTTGTTGTTGCACCTTATACATAAAATTGAATTGAGTTCTTCAGCTTTATTGTTCTGGAATCAGTGGAATGAAATGATTTAGATGACTGTTCACTGACTCATACTGACACCACGCCACTAGGGGGCAGTGTTTGGAGATTAGACACCCAGTTTAGTCTTTGCAAAGTCACTGTCAATGTATTTAATTGTATAGCACATTTACAACAACACCAGCTGCGCAAAGTTCTCCACAGGTACGAAAGATAAAAATTAAAACAGCATGAATTACAAACACACAGACGTAAAAAGTAAAAATGGTAAAACTCAATTAGTGTTAAACGTATGGATCTATTATAATAACTGGATAGGGTGTTACAGTTTGGAGCTGAAGGACCATGTGCTCGGGGATTCTCGCGGTACTGCAGACTAAACCAGACTAAACCGGACTAAATTCACGTGGGCTACCCAGAAATTTTCCCCATAGAACTCAATGTAAACTAAAACAGCTCGACCTCAGCTGACAGAGAACCTGACAGAGAACCTCCAGCTTTAATAAAGGTTGGATTTTGTGGGGATTTTAGTGTCCCTTGTCATCCTGAACTTTTTTTCTTCTTAAATCCTTTGGTTTTCTTTAAACCCACACTTTACTGCCACAAACTCTGCCCGTCTGGCTCTCGCTCTGACTCCCGCTCTGATCGGCAGCTCTGATTGGTCAGAGCGCGGCCGAGCCCTTCTGTGCGCGTGCATGAGAACCACACACACGTATTTGGCGCAAAGCATCATGGGAGTTCATCCACTGCGCAGAATCGGGAGGACCAGACAATGCCCAAATACAGGCGACTTCACATGGATCTTTGCGAGTTCCACTAATCTGTCAGTGACCGTGCCGGCACAAAGCGCCACTGGGCACAAACCGCTCATTTGAATACGGCGCCATCTTGGATCGCCGGGGCCTGGTTAAACGCCAAGGCATAAAATCTATCTTTAGAGTAGATTAAAAACTTTTGATGAAGGGTTTTATGTATTAAACTACTACTGTAGCCACAGCTGCCCTGGGGCACACTGACCGAAGCAAGGCAACCTGTCTGTGGTATCGGCCCCTCCCACCACCACCAACCATTCACACACACACCAGACTCATTCTAGGCAATGGGGGTGAAGTGTCTTGCCTAAGGACACAACCAAAGTTTGGCACTTTACAGCCACAGCCGGCAAAAATAAATATTAAAAACAGAATAAAATCATTTGTAATTAAAAACTTTCAAAGATTAAAATCCCAACAGGATCACAATGATACATAACCACAGTGCATTGTAGCTGCAAAAGGTCTGTAGTCTTCTTACTCATGCCATTGTAGTCTTAAACACACACACACACACACACACACACACACACACACACACACACACACACACACACACACACACACACTATTATTCATTCCAATGAGTAATATATTGTTTATTTCATGACTTGGCAAAAACTGGGCCACCAAATTTTTGTTTTGTTTTCCTGCATTTGGACTGTTGTGTATCATACAGTTGTGTGTGAGTTTCAAATACAGTAGTTTGTCGTCCCGTTTTCAATAATGACATAAATTAAAGCGACCGGGGGAGAAGAATAGAGAGGGGGGGCGATGGTGGGAGACGGCTCTATTCTTGGGAAGTAATTACAGGCCGTGTGTAGTGATTAATTAAATATAAATTAATGTATTGGTAACTATAATCTCCTCTCATGTCCAAAGTAAACGGATTATACAGGTGCGGTCCCTGAAGCGTGCAGGACAGAGCGAGGCAGTATGGAATGTACGAGGACACTCTGGCCGTGTGATCTTTTCTGTGTGCTCTTATGAGTTTCTAGTCAACAATACAATCGTAATCAATTCTAAAATCAACAGGAAGCCAGCGCAAAAAAGCTAAAACCAGAGAAATGTGCTCATGTTTTTTGGCTCCTGTTAAAAGCCACAGAAGAAAGGACGTAAGTAATGTTTAAATATATATTGTGCCTTTCACAGAGTCACAAAGCACTTTACAGTTGTTGTGGGTGTTTGTCTGTCACTCCACACAGAGATGGGAGCGGGTTCTGGACTCACTTTTAAGCGTGAAAGTGCATGTTGTGAAATTATTGCAGTGCTTGTCGTGTGCAAACTGGGGACTTTTGCAATTGTATTCTAATGTGGTTTTACTGTAAATGCTAAATAAGATTCATTTGAAACTGATAGATCCAAACTTGCTGGTGGCAGGTCTGATTGCTACTCCCCCCTGACCCAGAAATGGATGACGGGTTGTAAATAAATGGATGGAGATTAACATTTTGGCAGCGCTATAGGGACTACAGCTAGTTACATAGTAGAGCATTGGCCTTTGAGCCTGAAGGTTGTGGGTTCGAGCCCACCACAAGACCTTCTCCACCGACTCCCATTGATGTCTGCTGTCGTTCTGTCCTTGGGCAAGACACTTAACCTCTGGGAACAGCAGATGCCACAGTGGGGCGGCTACGACTGTAAAGTGCCAAACTGCCGTTGTGTCCTTAGGCAAGACACTTTACCCCCATTGCCTAGAATGAGTCTGGTGTGTGTGTGAATGGTCGGAGGGGCCGATGGCACAGACTGGTTGCCTCGCTTCTGTCAGTGTGCCCCAGGGCAGTAGTTTTTTTATCCCCACTGTATATGGAGTGAGTGAAAAGTGTCAAAAAAATATGCATTATTATTATTATTATTGATCAATATTTGTGGTTTCAGAGTTCAGTAAACCATCTTTAAAAGTACATTTAAAAATAATAATAATAAGATTGAAAGAAATATATAAAAATGTCTCAAAACATGGATTTTTCTGAAGCTTGGAGGAGGAAATAGTGGATTTTCTAAAGTTTTAATCACCCACAATCCCAACACACATTAATTCTAATTTATCCTCAAATCCTGACCCAGAAATATAATTTTGTAAATGTCAAGGTCAGGAGCAATTAGAAATGTAAATGAGACTTCCTCAGTCGTAAATATGTGTGACATTATAATCCCAGTACCTTCACCCATGTCCCTTTTAACAATGCATTGATTCTGTAAAATAAATATCATTCTAATAAATGCATTAGCGAGGCCTAATCTTGCTGCTAATATTTTTTCACCAATTCTTTCCAACACATTTTTAGACCCGTGTCCTATATAGACGCTCTTTATGGGTAATTAATGAACAGTTCATCATTAAAAAGTGTCACATATGGCCCTAATCCAGCTCCACAGATAACGTGACACTCTAAAACATCCCACAGTAATTAGAGCCGTAATGGATTTCTCACTGCAACTCCAGGCGACGTTGAATCACGCTACAAGTGTGATCACGCCATCTAGCGGTGACTCCTTCAGCTGGCCAACTTTTCACACTCTGCCAGATGAGAGCGAGGCTTTGTAAATCAAACAGGAAATGCACTTTAGATCATGAACTGAGACTTTGATGGGACGTGTGTCAAAAGCAACTGGGAAAGTACGAAATGGTTATTATTTGTCTCTATAAAAAAAAAAGCGCTGCTGTGTAATTTCCGATTGTAATAAAACCCTCAGTGATTCATTGGGAATATTAGTTAGAGTGATAAACCCCCGCAGAGGAAGTTATGGAGAGCAGTACGAAAGGATATGTCTCTGAAGGCATTGCTCTGGGGACTGGTGTTGGATGAAAACCACGCGCGCTGACGTCAAATATTTTGCTCGGAGACTTTGGCACAAAAAGAAGAGCACCGAGAGACCACATATTGGATTGTGTTTTAACACTTTTCTAATTGCGCCCCTTTAAAAGCTGAATTGAATATTGAGTTGGAAGAGAAAGGAGAGTGAGAGAGACAGATGCGGTAGGAGAGGAGAGAAGAGGAGAGAAGAGAAGAGAAGAGAAGAGAAGAGGAAGGGGAGAGAGCGTCGCTGCATCCCGTTGCTGACAGACACAGAGACCACTTGTACCACCGTCACAACTGTGCCAAGAGACAGCGAGCCTTTGAAATCCACAGAAGCAGAGCAGAGCGGCATATCAATCAGCGTCCTGGAGAGGAAGAGGAGAGAGGCACCAGCGACCTGCCATAAAACAGAATCGGCTCCTTGGCTGGATGCGCACTGGGCGGAGAGACGTGGGACTTTTTTGCGCTCGTGAAAGACGCTTGGACCAGAAAACAAATGTAAAAAAATAGACAGAAGAGAAAAGGCTGCTTGTGCTCGTCTCAGCAGCAGAGCCAGGGGGAGACGCGCAAGGACCCGCAGGATAATCGATTCACACTCAAGACCACGTTCGTTAAGGATTTTATGAGAAAAGGAGGTTTGTCAAAGTCTTGAATTATGGCTTTTCGGATTTGCGTAATTCTGGTTTGTTCTGCGACGTTTCTCGTCGGTCTGCACTGCGTCTCCGCGGGGATGGATGCCCCTTTCTCCATGGGATCGAACATTAGCACCAGCTCGAGTAGTATCGGTGGCAGCAGTGGAGAAACGAAAAGAAACACCAACCAAACTAACGACTCACGGATCAAACGGAAAACGCTGGCCGTGGACCTCGTGGTGCCGTCCCTGTTGCGCTATTACCTGGCGGAGTTCATCAAACGACCCCTAAATGGAGACTGTCTGACTTATAGTGGCTGTTACACCGTGCGCGCCAACTTGAGGATGCTGTGCGTACCTTTACAGAAAATCATCTCGACTTTTGTGGCTGATTCCACACAGAGAAATGGATCCGACGGACAGCTGCCGTTCTTTCACAAACGGCCGCTGTCCAAAGTTCTGAAATTGGAAGCAAGAAAGTCCAACCAGGTCGTGGTGGAGATTGGAGAGGATTTAGTGAAGACGGGCTGCGGGGGCTTGTCTGTGCATGAGGAGGCCCCTGTGCTCACGCTGGAGATGGACCTCACTTCTGTGGTGGAGTGGTGGTTGGGGGCCGACGGGGGCCGCCTGAGGGTCAGGCTTATCCCCGAGAAAAAGGCACAAGTGCCAGGCTTAGAGGATCGTTACGCAGCCGCCATACGAGCTGCAGACCCGCGCCTCTTCCTCCAGATGTCCTCCAGAGGTGAGTTATAACTTGTGATTTACGCACACTTTACGCAGCGTCTGAACGTGCAGTGATTGATGTGTGGCCAACACTTGCGAGTCTGTTCCGCTGCATGTGCGGCTTAGAAGCACTTTCCACGTCACAAGCTGCTGCTTTGACGCGCTGTGTTCGGGAGATGTCAGCACTTTGTCCGTGGAACACAGTGACTGTTCAGTTCTGATCCCAGTTCAATTCCAGGAATACTTTGAATTATACATTTCTTTACTGCATTTTGGATCTGTTCAAAGCGACTGTTTGCATTGACTGCGTTTTTGTGGCTGTTGGTTTCACTGAAAACTGTACACAATGTCCATTGATGGATATGTTGAGGACTGATTGACTGAATTTGATTGATTGATTGATTGATATTCAGGACATCTGTTGCTTTGTTAAAATGCCTTTATAATATTGATAATTTCACATATTAGTTACAGAAGAATGTTAAAAGTGATTTGGAGGTTAGGTTAGTTTATGGCTGGTAAAACTCTTTATACTGATAAATTCTAACTTTGGGAAGCACTTCCTTGCCCCTCTGTTGTATTGTGTATAATAAATTCTACCCTTTTGGATTCCTTCAGCAGGCGTTACATAACGGCCTGGAAAGTTACCGTCAGCCTCTTGGTGTTTGGTGAAAGTTGGAGGAAAATAAAGGAGCTGGGTCTTTATTTTTTTGATTAGGCTCAAATTAAGCTGTTATCTACCAAGAAAGCTTTAGCGCTCAATACTCGAGGGCTCTTCCTGAGTTCTCGAGCATCGGTACAATCAGTGTAATTGCTTAATCACTTAGATGAACGAGGTTGGCCCAGATAAAGAAATTCAAGCAAACCTCAGAGACAAAAACAATGCACAGGGCGAGTCACAGCTGGAGGTGGGCAGAGAAGCCCCTGCTGGAGGTGGGCAGAGAAGCCCCTGCTGGAGGTGGGCAGAGAAGCCACCTGCTGGAGGTGGGCAGAGAAGCCACCTGCTGGAGGTGGGCAGAGAAGCCCCCTGCTGGAGGTGGGCAGAGAAGCCCCCTGCTGGAGGTGGGCAGAGAAGCCACCTGCTGGAGGTGGGCAGAGAAGCCCCCTGCTGGAGGTGGGCAGAGAAGCCCCTGCTGGAGGTGGGCAGAGAAGCCCCTGCTGGAGGTGGGCAGAGAAGCCCCCGCTGACAGAAAGGGTGAGGACAGTGCACTTAAGTTTGTGTACCATAATAAAGGCAGCTAAAGCAAAAGTACTAAGAGCATTGGCAAACAATACAGGAGATTTACATCTGACGCTCACTGGCTTTACACTTGCATTATTCATTCCCTCCACTCGAGCAGGTGGTGAGCAGCAGCTGCTGCCCTTCGTTATGTCGCTGTCTTGATTATAAAGACACATTCACAGGTTTCCTTGGCCCCTTGCACCAGGCCATAGGCCATGGCAGAGCAGAATACTATGAAAAACTATGGGTTGAATTCAAATGAGTTTCACTTATTATTCAGGTGCTGTAGTGATGATCAGAGGGTTTTATGTTCCGTCAGAGTCGTACTGTTTCTGCATGATCAGATAATTAGACCTGACAAATGTATGTTATGGTTCTAAATGATGTATTTAATCTTGGAACATGAAATGTTGGATAAGATTATGAGAGTGTTTTCCCCAGGGGGTATAACTGATGAATGTGGAAGCTGACCGACTGAAGTGATTCTTCCACTGTTGGTGGTGACGGGGAGGAGGCGGGTTGTGGCACCACATGATGAGCACAGGTGTGCTGTAGAGGATACCGTACATTTTCCCTCAACATCAGTTCATGTTATTTGTTGAAAAATTCCATACCCACAGTGCTTCTTCAAAGTGCTTGTTAAATGCATTCCGGCAACAAGTGCTAAAGCAACACGGTTAATCCATTTGTGTGGAGAGGCTGGTGAAGCACGAGTGCCGGGCGCAGCAGGCGCAGCAGGCGCTGCCGCTGGAGATGGAAAAACAGCAGGGCACGGGGTGCTGGGCTCTCACTATCTGGAGATTTTTTATTACAATGATAGAATTGTGTGTTGAACTTGTGGTCTGTGCCGCAGCAGGTCTGTGCCGCAGCAGGTCTGTGCCGCAGCAGGTCTGTGCCGCAGCAGGTCTGTGCCGCAGCAGGTCTGTGCCGCAGCAGGTCTGTGCCGCAGCAGGTCTGTGCCGCAGCCAACAGGTTGTGGGCTGTGAGTGCAGGGCTCCCAGATTTGTTTGTATAAAAACAGTGACAATTACAGTTGGGATCCATAAAGCAGCCTGAGCTTTTGTTCCAATATTTATACACGTTTCCAAACACAACTAATGAGTGCTTTTAATGATGTAACACTTTCTGATTGTGCGACGATTTCACATGATCCAGATTTGCCACGCAACGTTTACTCTAGTGGCCATTTGTGTTGCCAGATACTTATTGGTCAGTGTCTGTCTTTAGCTTCTGTTCGTGTCTGTAAGTGCGTCTGCAAGTGCGTCTGTAAGTGTCTGTAAGTGCGTCTGTAAGTGTCTGTAAGTGCGTCTGTAAGTGTGTCTGTAAGTGCGTCTGTAAGTGTGTCTGTAAGTGTGTCTGTAAGTGTGTCTGTAAGTGCGTCTGTAAGTGCGTCTGTAAGTGTCTGTAAGTGCGTCTGTAAGTGTGTCTGTAAGTGTGTCTGTAAGTGTGTCTGTAAGTGCGTCTGTAAGTGCGTCTGTAAGTGTCTGTAAGTGTGTCTGTAAGTGTGTCTGTAAGTGCGTCTGTAAGTGTGTCTGTAAGTGTGTCTGTAAGTGCGTCTGTAAGTGCGTCTGTAAGTGCGTCTGTAAGTGTTTGTAAGTGTGTCTGTGAGTGCGTCTGTAAGTGCGTCTGTAAGTGTGTCTGTAAGTGTGTCTGTAAGTGCGTCTGTAAGTGTGTCTGTAAGTGCGTCTGTAAGTGCGTCTGTAAGTGTGTCCTAAGTGCGTCTGTAAGTGTGTCTGTAAGTGCGTCCTAAGTGCGTCTGTAAGTGCGTCTGTAAGTGCGTCTGTAAGTGTGTCTGTAAGTGTGTCTGTAAGTGCGTCTGTAAGTGCGTCTGTAAGTGTGTCCTAAGTGCGTCTGTAAGTGCGTCTGTAAGTCTGTCTGTAAGTGTGTCCTAAGTGCGTCTGTAAGTCTGTCTGTGTGTCCTAAGTGCGTCTGTAAGTGTGTCTGTAAGTGCGTCTGTAAGTGCGTCTGTAAGTGTGTCTGTATGTGCGTCTGTAAGTGCATCTGTAAGTGTGTCCTAAGTGCGTCTGTAAGTGTGTCTGTAAGTGTGTCTTAAGTGCGTCTGTAAGTGCGTTTGTAAGTGCGTCTGTAAGTTTGTCTGTAAGTGTGTCTGTAAGTGTGTCCTAAGTGCATCTGTAAGTGTGTCTGTAAGTGCGTCTGTAAGTGTGTCCGTAAGTGCGTCTGTAAGTGCGTCTGTAAGTGTGTCCTAAGTGCGTCTGTAAGTGTGTCTGTAAGTGCGTCTGTAAGTGTGTCCGTAAGTGTGTCTGTAAGTGTGTCTGTAAGTGTGTCCTAAGTGCGTCTGTAAGTGCGTTTGTAAGTGCGTCTGTAAGTGCGTCTGTAAGTGTGTCTGTAAGTGTGTCTGTAAGTGCGTCTGTAAGTGCGTCTGTAAGTGTGTCCTAAGTGCGTCTGTAAGTGTGTCTGTAAGTGTGTCCGTAAGTGTGTCTGTAAGTGTGTCCTAAGTGTGTCTGTAAGTGTGTCTGTAAGTGTGTCCTAAGTGCGTCTGTAAGTGCGTCTGTAAGTGCGTCTGTAAGTGTGTCTGTAAGTGCGTCTGTAAGTGCGTCTGTAAGTGTGTCCTAAGTGCGTCTGTAAGTGTGTCTGTAAGTGCGTCTGTAAGTGTGTCCTAAGTGCGTCTGTAAGTGTGTCTGTAAGTGTGTCCTAAGTGCGTCTGTAAGTGCGTCTGTAAGTGTGTCCGTAAGTGCGTCTGTAAGTGTGTCTGTAAGTGTGTCTGTAAGTGCGTCTGTGTGTCTGTTAGTGCGTCTGTAAGTGTGTCCGTAAGTGTGTCTGTAAGTGCGTCTGTGTGTCTGTTAGTGCGTCTGTAAGTGTGTCTGTAAGTGCGTCTGTAAGTGCGTCTGTAAGTGCGTCTGTGTGTCTGTTAGTGCGTCTGTAAGTGCGTCTGTAAGTGTGTCTGTAAGTGTGTCTGTAAGTGCGTCTGTAAGTGTGTCTGTAAGTGCGTCTGTAAAGCTAGGCTAAATGCTATGGTTTGTATGAACTTGTGCACACCGGGGTCTTTTACAAATGTATTTCAATCTGGTTTTTATGTAAATGGGAAATGAAATTAATCTGAATCTGATTTTGTATAAGGATCATATCAAATAGTTCCTCATCAGCCGAAACCTCAAATCCTATTAAAATTCAGACAGAAGACTGAGGCCCTCAAAAGTTTCAAAAATCTTTAAAAGCCTTTATTACAAATGACAAAAGAGGCTAAAATGACACCTCAGCGTTTCAGCCTCTGGCCTTCTTCAGGACAGACTCCAGAGGACAGAATGGTGCCGGTCACATGATCAGTGGGCGGGGCTAAAGTCACATGGTTTTAAAACTGGAGACAATATTGAACATCTCTAATAGAATATCCCAAAAATATGTTCAGTGGTCTCAAAGAAAAGTTTTTCAAAAAGGTTTACAGAGAAAGACATTGAAGCCTAAAGGGCCTTTTAGATCTTACATATCCACTAGGACTCTCTTTGATGCAGAGTTTTGAGTTTCCTCTTATTGTCTCCGGAATATATTCAGTGCGTGTAGAGCCCTTGGATATTGTCTGTGTTTTGTCCTTTTAGCTCGCTTCTGTTCAGTTTTTATTTCTGCTTAAAGTAGTACTAGAATTTAATATGCTGCTATCCAGAATATATAACTACAACTATGTGTTTATAATATTTCGGGTGTTCATTTTGACATGTTCAGATGAATTATATTAAAAAAACTGCTTTGAAGTGGCACCTTTTCACTTCCGCATAGAAACGCTAGGGGGCGCCAAAATGGCGGCGATGACGTAGGAGAAGGACCTCTCACAGCAGCAGCAGCAGTCTGGGCTGAATCTGTAGGAGGTTTCACTGTCATCTGAACAAGGTATAAACATATTTTCATCAGTTTTGTACATAATAGTGTGCAACTCTTTTAACCTTTTAGCCTTATTTGTGAGATTCAAGCTAATTAGTGTTGGCCAAGTTAGCTAACTCTACTTGATATCATAAAACATGCTAACAAGGCTAATATTGGTTTTTACATTATGCCAGTCTCACTTTGCCTTAGATTTATTTACCACAATGTACATTGTAATATCTATAAATGCTAATCAAAATAACTTGAATTAAATAAATATTTTACTTTTATGAACAAAAAGCTGCAGAAGTTGAAAACATAGACTACATGTGATGCAATCATTGATAAAAATGCTAATTAAACCGTTAATAGGTGTTAGCATTTTTGAATACGTCATCGCCGCCATTTTGGCTCCTCCTAGCGTTTGTGAAAAGGTGCCACTTCAAAGCTGTTTTTTTAACATAATTCATCTGAACATATCAAAATGAACACCCGAAATATTATAAACACATATTGTAGTTATATATTCTGGATAGCAGCATATTAAATTCTAGTACTACTTTAAGTAAGTAAGTAATCTTTATTTATATACCGCCTTTTCACTGCAGATCTGAGTCTGAAAGCGGTTTACAATTGTTAATTATGGGCATTTGTCTCTCACTCCACACAGAGATGGGAGCGGGGCCAGTACAGGAGGCACATGCCAGAACTATTGTACATATTTTTAGTGGTAGGGGAAACCGGAGTACCCGGAGGAAACCTACGCAGACACGGGGAGAACATGCAAACTCCACTCAGAAAGGCCCTGGTCCGACCAGGATTCGAACCCAGGACCTTCTTGCTGAGAGGCGAGAGAGCTATCCACTCAGCCACCGTGCCGCTTAATAAGGATCAAACCTTAGCTGTGCGTTTTTTCTTGTGCGTGTGTTCTGGGGACGAAAAAAATCAAATGCGTGAACTTATTTTGTTTTAAGGTTTGATAGTGCGACGCCAGTGATGGATGATTAATTAGGGTGACAGTAATTTAATTTTTTATAAAGACAGAAGCAAACACTCATCGTGTTGTGGGTAATGAAGTCGGGGTTAACATTGTAACCTCAAATCCAGCAGAGGGCGCTGTGGAGTTCCTCTGCCTTCAGGGTTATAGAGAAGCAAGAATCAGGACACATAGAATTTTTTTTTTTTTTTTTTTTTTTTTACAGCTGCAAAGGGTATAATTTTGGTCATTTTACTTCTGTTTTTGTTATAGATTTTCTTCCTTGCAATACAATTATTTAATGGATTGGCTTATCCAACTGGACTCTTCAGTTTCACCGTTCATATTTTATTTTTTAAAGTTATTTTCCATTTCAAGCGACATCAAGACACGCATTATTTTCCAACACCACATAATCTCAATATAATAAGTTCTATAATTGTTTCTTTTTAGCAGCTGTTGGCACTTAAGAAGAAAAGTATTGCTTGTGGTTGTTGTAAATGTAGCCTGGTCTTATCCATAAACTCTGGTCCATGATCATCTCCTACATGTACGTCTGGTCTTACCATGTGTAAACTCTGGTCCATGGTCATTTCCTACATGTACGTCTGGTCTTACCATGTGTAAACTCTGGTCCATGATCAGTTCCTACATGTACGTCTGGTCTTACCATGTGTAAACTCTGGTCCATGATCAGTTCCTACATGTACGTCTGGTCTTACCATGTGTAAACTCTGGTCCATGATCATTTCCTACATGTACGTCTGGTCTTACCATGTGTAAACTCTGGTCCATGATCATTTCCTACATGTACACTGGTCTTACCATGTGTAAACTCTGGTCCGTGATCATTTCCTACATGTACGTCTGGTCTTACCATGTGTAAACTCTGGTCCGTGGTCATTTCCTACATGTACGTCTGGTCATACCATGTGTAAACTCTGGTCCATGATCATTTCCTACATGTACGTCTGGGTCTGATCCTAGTGGCTGCAGTTTCCTCGGTTGAATCCCCTTCGACCAATCAGAGAGCGGGGGAGGCGGGTGTTGTAGGTCGGTGTCGGTGACGTCAAGAGTTTGTGCTGAATTTACTGGTTGTAGTTTGTCGGAGAATGCGATAGTAAAATAATCTGTTCTGGTTCAATCCAAATATCAAGAAACTGAAGCAAGAGCAAGAGGAATGTTTAGTAAATG